TCATGGTCTGATTTAAGGCCTTTAATGCCCTTCGGGGTGGCGCACTTTCCGGCCACGATAGCCGTGGCCTGACAAACAACAACAATTTGACTCTTATCTCACAATGTTGAACCTTGGTGTGATTGCGGAGTTTCATTTAATCAGTCCCATTAGCGGTTTGTTGAACATTTTAACTTAACTACGACAATGCTTTTGGCCGTCTCCGTTGTCTAGCTCTTAATGCCCAAATTTTTTTGCTTTGATGTGAATTCTTCCCACATTTCGCCGACATTCCCCGCATCACAGGCCAAATTATTTGTCCTCCGGGTCATTTTGCAAGGCATATCTAACCATTTGTCATTCTGAGGCGATTGAGGACTTAATTGCGGAGCCACGGAGCTAGTCATAGCCTGCTTTGTTCGAGCTTCTACACACTTGCGTGATTACACATTTCCACTGGGGCGTGTCACCCTCCTTCTCATGCATATATGCGTGTCCTTGTTTCTGACTCTCGCTATTAGTTCATCCAACTATTTGCTATGTTGTTAATTTATCCATTGCCAGGTAGATGTTGTTTGCTGCTGGCAGGTGAGCTAATACCCTACCGGTGATGTGTCGTTATTCAGAAGGCTATGAGACATGCAAGCATTCCTGCGCATCCGTTCCGATGTTTCGCTGACTGAGTTACGCCAATGACTCACTGGGGTGAAACTGAAAGAGCAGTCCCTCATAATGTCTGATCGCTCTTACTAGTTGCCGTAGTCGCTATTCACGCACGGTCACGGAACCATAAAAATGCTTTTGCATTGGGCTTTTTGCACAGCGAATGTAGAGGACTTATTTCCTCCTCCTTGTTGTTTATTTTGAGCCTAAAAGCTTGCTAAATCCCTTCTGCCAACAATCGTCTTTTTCTAAATTGGACGTGTTCTACATGTGCATGCCACGAGGCGATGCAGTCTCCCTTCTTTCCATTGAACGATCGATAATTCCACTTCCTGTGGAATTGAATGGCTAAGTGGTCGTGGCTTGTGAGTACCACTGTACACGAATGAATGGTGGCTGCTAGAATAACTTCAATCATCTTGCTTTAGGAGGAAACATTAGTACACCGGCACTAAATATGGACATTTGCCTTTTTTTCGGACATGTAAATGTCATTGCAGCCTTTCTTATTTATGAAAAGCGTCGAGATGTGGTTAACACTTGCTATCAACGTCGCATACGTGACACCCGGTTTTTTTTGACAACTTCGGTGGCATGAATTTTTTTGTTGCTTGCTTTCTAGCTGTTTACGACAAGCTGTCGCATTGGACACTATGTTTCTGGTCCAGGAATGATTTGGTATTGATCAAAGTTCGAATAGCAGTTCAATTGGTCGCGGTGATGGCGGACAATTTCCTTCCTGGACAAATGATAAACACGCCAACAAATGGTGCTCGTTTCCCAAGTCATATTCAATACTAGCTTTCTCTTCTGCTTTATGACTCGTCGATCAGCCATTATTTTGTGTAGTTAATACTAACAAACGAGTGTCGATTTATGCCCACGTACTGTGCCATCGCCGTGAAATATTAGCAGTCGTGTTTATCACTACAACGGCCCCGCGGAGGCATGGATGGGTGTGTGTGTTTTACTACTGTCTGCGTGAGTTTGCTTTGAAGGTTGGGGTGACCTTTTGCGCTAACTACCACTAACTTCCTACCTCCTCCTTGCAAGTGGCAGAGAGCATTTCGCGCCTCGTCTGTTTCCTTTCCTCCGTAGCTAGGGCCTTGGTTTGGAAAAGTTATGACGGCTCAGCGCGTGTGGGTGTTCATCGGTGAACGCATACGGCATGCCCGCACACGCGTGGTGGCAGGACAGGAGATGGAAGGCGGTAGCGGGTATTAGTCATTCGGCTTGACTAATTCCCTCATCAAATGTCCTTGTACCCTCCTCAACCGGTATTACTTGGCTGCGTTTTTGAAGGGATAAATAGATCTGGCCAAACAGGGAGTTGGCACTGACCTTGAACAGCTTCAGTATTGCTACTTCATTTGTATCTGCAGTGTCTTTGTGACCTCTATTTCACATGGAGTTTAAGCTTGCAGTTTTACCTTAAAAATGGTGTATTTATTGAAAGCCATGGTTGGAGTTCATTCAACCCTCAAAAGCTGGTTCACGTATGACTACAACCTCACCTTTTGCAGGTCATTTGAAAGGAATCTTTTGGACTTTGGCTGCGCGATTAGTGCGGTAGATTTGGCAGGCTAACGTACAAGATGCTTCTGCTCTAATTCCTTTCACCGTTCCAACTTGAAATGCGTCTTATCTGTTGAATAGTTCCGTATTTGATGTGTGTAGAGTTATTAGACTCTGACTCTACTACCTTTCTCAAGTTTAAAGACAAGTTGCAGAATGTTGGAACTGTCAGTGTTGCAGTCATGATAATTACATTATTGACAAGATTGGGGGTCAGTGGGGTCGAACATTATGAAATGCAGTTCAAGCAATTTCTCACCTTCTCCCATGACGCGTTTCCTCAGGTCGAAATCTCACAATCTTCAGGCAGAAATACTTTTGCAAGCTACCTTTTAGACAGGCAGGTGGATTCTTGTCACCCACTTAACACTTTCTGACCACCACTTTGAATGCCTCTGTTGAAGTATTTTTTTTTCGTTTGTTACTCGAAACCTGCTTCTAAACTTAGCAGCATAAAAGTCTCGTAAGTGGTGTGCTCATTTTTCTTCACTAATTCATTCTGGTTCCAAACGTTTCCAGCCGCCTGCTAAGCGTTCTCTTTGGGCGTTGTTTCTCACCACATTCAATCGTCAATCATAGGTTGTGTTTGTTTTCCCACTCCCAATCACAGTCTTTTTACTCATCTTCACTTAACTAGTGCTCCACTATTGTGGGACCCAAATTTCCGCAACAAGTAACGCGCTGAAGTTCTGCATAGTGTTGTCAGTTATTCACAAATCTTAGTCATAAAACACTGTATTCACATCTCATGAATAACCATTGTCAACAAAGGAACTTGGGTGGATCCTCGTAAGGATAGAAGAGGCCAAATTCTCTTACCAATGTCACTTACTGCTTGTTGGTTACGTGTTAGCGCGACGTTCGGTTATCTGGATGCGATCTTTATTTTCAGCAAGTACGTTTACATTACACTACTGTTACGTAAAAACGAGTAACTTTTTTGTGGTCTTTTTTGTTACTCTCATTACAGTTCGTTACGAGTGTCCTACAAAATGCTCAGTAATGTTGTAAACTGTGATGCACTTGTGTGAACACGGATTGGCAAATTCCTAACAGCAAAAATAATGCAGAGGGCACGGAATGGAGGTCGCATGCCTCCTCTACCGCCTGGATCAGAGCAACTAGAGGGCGTGAGGTGTGTGTAGATGTCTATTAGCTGATGTGATGGAGCACACGAGCGGCCATCAGGTGCGATTACCAGTCCTCTGGACGGTAAAAAAAAATAACGATGCTCACTTTTAGTGTAGGGCTCCATAAACTACTTCACTTTGATCACTTGAATTCATTGATGGCTCTTCCACCTCTTCACAAAGCCCGGTTCATAAAAATTGTCTGTGGTGGCTTAGGTGGTCCCGATATGACTTGATTGGATACTGCTTCGGTTTTCCTCGCCGATGATGGCTTAGTGTTCAAAAAAAAAAAACTGTTCATCTAAGATATTTGGGATCATCAGCTCATTATTTTTGTTGTCTATCAACCGCTCTTTTTGATTCAAAACTAAGGTTATACAAAACCAAATTCGAGTTTGTTCACAAAATTATAATCCCTCTTCTCGCTGGATCGGTGGGATGCTGTGACCAAAAGTTTGCATTGTCCTTGCCTCCAGACTCCTCCATTGGCTAGTCAGCACCCGTCTTATAACAAAAGACGCAATAGAGTTGGCGACTCCTACCTCGCTGACGACGGCAGAAGGTGAGGTGGACCAACGCGAGACCATTGAGGCTGCTGCAGTGTTGCCACTCGTTACTGCCCTTCTCTCAGTTAGTTTAAATCCCTTCGTGGCCACTCGGCTCCTCTCTCTCCTCGAGGCTGCCACTGCTATTGCTTGCAACGGTACTGAGGGCGGTGGATGGTGGAGCGGGTCGGGAGCTCTTCCACGCCTTTTCGACGCAGTAGAGGCTCACCTCCGTGTGCGATTGGCGGATCGAGACCTCACTAACAGTCCCGTCTATCAGCCCACCACTTCGGTTGACTGGCCCCTGTTGCAGGCATTATTTCAAGTCAATCTTCTGCCTTTTATGCTGACTGCGAATCTGCAGCTTCTTATTGAAGTAAGAATGCTCTCTTTACTTCCAGTATTATCGTAAGTTCTTTTAGCCTCGCAATGATCCACTTATGTTTCCATGTTGCGTGTGAAATTAGTATTTCAGGCTTTCTAACACTGTGCTGCCAAGCTTCGATCAACTCAAACGTCAAAGACCGAAGAGTGCGTTTCCTGAAGATATTTTTGGTAGCTCTTGCATGCTCAATCGCCTTTCTACATAACTAAAAGCAAGCACAGTTGGATTTGCACCATTAGTAATTTTTTAAATCTGGGAGGCGTTTCTACCGTTTTTGTCCTTTCTCCAAATCCCATTAGCTACTTTCATTCTCAGTTGGGCAGGAGAAATATGACCTAACCAGCTTGGCGAATGAAATCGCTTTATTTACTTGGCTGTAGCCGATGTCAACCTGTCGTACGATCTTTGCATGGATTCTACTTCGTGGCTTACTTAACTTCCTTACTTGGGAGTAATATAACCTTCCAATCGGGTTTTAGTCACTTCGAACATGATTTTTTTTTCTAAAATAAATGGGTTGGATGGTCAACACAATGAAAAATTCCAGTCGTCAACT